TCTTTTCTTCCTCCTAATGATCTCGATCAACTTGATTTCTGTCTTGATTTGATCTCAGTGAGAGTCGATTTGGGAAGGTGAGAGCCTTCCTGGGTTTTGAATCTCAGAGAAATCTAAGTGTAGTTTATTGTGGTGGAAATCATTAACTGTAACTCAGCTGGACGGAACCATTTTGCTGTTGAATATATCTGTCTGGTATCAGTCTTATAGGATACCAGTGATTCTCATTAATCTGTATTAATACTAAGTGTAAATGTTGTGTAGTGTTTATCACAGAGACCAACTGATTAATTTTGCTCATGTGGCTTGCGAGGTCAACTTTTCTATGACATTGTTACAGTATCTCTGCTGGACATGATGGAGTTTTTTAATTTTTGCTTACATCCTAGTATAGGCGTAAGAAATGGGATCTATAATTGTGTAACTTTATATTTCTCTCTGCTTTCAAATTCTATTGCTACGTTAAGACAGGCATTGGCTCTTCTGTTATTTCAACAGAGCCCATATTTTATTCTATGTATACTGTCACAGCATTTGACTGCTGTCATATAGTCCTTTGGTAATCTGTTTACTCATCTGTCCTATACTTCGTATCTCACATTCTCTGCTGAGGGAGTGAAGATAATCTGTTAGAGTGTTACCTTTAACTGAAAGTTTGCTTTGTTAGTTTGTTTTGCTGTAGATGTCTTGCTATGGCTATGTTAAAAAAGGTGTGGCCAAAATTGTTACAGGTTCTTCTCTTCTGGAGTAGTAAGCCTGTAATATAGGTAGCAGCATATGAAACCTCACAGACTTCTCAAGTCCACATATATGGAGTATCTCATTAGGCAATTCCAGATATTTGCAGCCTTGTATTTACAAGGTTCAGTACAGAGGATGGTGTAAATTGACATGCTGACTAATATTGACTAGTGACTAAAAACAATTATGAAGATAACTAGTGTCACCTTGTTGCTTGAAAAATGTTAATCCATCCATTTAATACTGGAATCTGACAGAGAGTCTGAAAGACAGTGGAAATCTGTGGCCTTATCTACATGAGATCTAGCTGGCAAACAGTCTGTTGGCATAGTGCAGATAGCATGTTCTTTTGGCAGAATGTGTTCACATTTGGTTGCTTCTGTTGGCAGTATATTTCTTCATGGCTTCAGATTGTATTGGCAAAATATACGCAGCATGTAAGAGGGTCTTGGTAACTGTGTCTATAATGCTGTGTAGAACTCGTCTTGAAGCCAAATGTGCTAACTATTCATTCTGCACTTGTTAGGGGGTTGTTATTGCTGAATCTGGGGGCAGATGAAAACAGCCAATTCTCCAGCAGGAAAAACATTGGGTAGTGCTGGAATTTTAAAGGTTATCAAGAGTGACCTCACTGCTTTGTGGATAGGCTGTGTGCCTGGCTAATTCTGTTGTCTGTGCAGATAAGATGGTTCCTTGTCCTTAAGATAGCTGTGTCATCACTTGCTGTGAAGGGTGATGAGGTTTGTGGGCAGTCTGAGATGTCTATGTGTAGACCCAAATATATTAAGATGCCATAATTTGACATGCAACTAGATGAGACTGCTTCTGAATATTGAATACTGAATATCCTTCAAGAATTATGGAACTGTGCATTAAAGCCACAGAAACTGCTTCCTCAAGGCTGTATTTAGCATTCTCCACATTTTCCCATTCTCATCATAGAATCATAAAATTGTTTAGGTTGAAAGGGACCTCTGGAAGGTCATCCCCTTGCAGAGAGCAGGTTCAAAAGGATCAGGTTGCTCAGATCCCTATCCAATTAGGTGTCCTCCAAGTCTTCTCTTATAAAGACTTATAAGACTTATAAAGTTCTTCCATCCTCTCTGTGTACATCATGTGCTTCATCTCCCAGTCAAATTGGTAGCCTTCCTCTGAACTCACTCCAGCACATCAACGTCTTTCTTGTGTTGAGGAGCTGCAAATTAAATATGCTACTCAAAGCTATCTATAAAATAGTGAAGCTATACTAATAAGTGGAATGGTTTTGTCCATTGTAGGATGGACAAGACATTCTATAAGAAGAACCAAGATGCCCAGAATGAGTGAACACCAAAGCGTAACAATGTCTAACAAGAAGCCTGGTTTTCTGCTGCTGAAATGGTTCTGAGGGTGAATGTCACATGTTGTGTACTACATAACTTCTGCCACTATAAAATCCTTTGTGGACCTATTCAGGTGGATAAATAAGGTGTTTGTGCTAACTGCTGAAGTCAGAGATATGGCAGTTCCATCTGCCATGTGTACCAATTGTTTGAGGGAGCATAAGAGAGAGCATTGTCATGGTATGCACTATCCAGACAGTGATTGTTTTTGTTATCACATATGCAGAAATTTTTTTAGCAATTAATTCTGGGGAAATTCCATCAAATAAAAAATAGCATGAAGCTGGATTTTCAGAAATCAGACTTTGCTTGCAATATGGGCAGTGCTTTCCTTGACATCTGTAGCTGCTTCTGAGTAGGAAGATTCATAGCAAATCTTCTCTATTGATGTTCAATGCTACTATAAAATGGAATGAGAAGATGATGTGGGTCTTCAGTTAAAGACGAGTATTTTTCATATTGTGTTGTAGATTCTGGGTTGCTAGCATTTTGATTTTCTGGTCAAGAATACAGCGTAGTATCCTTTTCTTTTTCCTTTGAAATTTGTAGCATACATTCTTGCAGTTTTCAGTCTTTCAGTTTGTTATAAGATTCTGCAAGAAAGGGAGTTTATGTTCACAATGTAGAAAAAAAAAGAACTTCTCTGATCTATTTCTTTCCTGTTTACCATGCAGAGTATTCTATGTGGGAAGGTGTACCCTTCAGATCCATACAGTCCATACAGTAGGATCTGATAGCTTAGAAATCCTAGAATACCCTTGAATATCTGTCATTCCATTGTCCATCTAGAGCTCATCATGGAGACACTCTGGCTGCCTGATAGTCTGGAAATGATGGAAACTGTAACAGCTATGACAAAAGGTCTCTGAGAGGAGTATATGTATGCCACGGGCTTATTGGGTGGGATTCATCTTACTAAACACAGACAGTTCTTCATCTGGACTTAATTCATTGTGTGTGGAGGGAAATAGGCATTTGTAGGGCTTTTTTTTTTCATTTTGAAGCACAGTTTTTCTCATCCCAATGCCACTGTCTCAAATAAAACAGCTGAATCACTTGTTAGATGCCTGCTTTCTCTGTTGATTTTAAAAGAAGCCTGAGATGATTCTTTCAGCTCTAAAAACCTGTGCCATAGCTGACTAAAGCTGGTTGTAATAAGTTTCCTTTTATTGTAATAACAGCAGGCCAAGAGAGAGCTTAGGTTGCTTGGAGGAATGGTTCTAACTTTCCCAGTTTTTTGCCCCTATTGTTCTCAGAGGAATTGGCAGAGCAGGAATGCACATAGACTTCTGCTGGCTGTTATTTTTCCTAGTTAGGAGTTCTTTGTTGTCTAATGATTATTCTGGAATAAAGGGTCAAACTCATCCATATGTAGAGTTTTCAGTGTTTCAACCTATCTTCCTGCATAAAGTTTTTTGAGTGTATTAGGGAAGTAGTCTCACACTGTCAGATGCACAGTGGGTACTTTTGGAGAAGATACAACTGGCTGATCATCCTCTTTTCCAGGATTTGAACAGCCAGACTGTGCCCTGGTTGGCTTCTGAAGCCATGAATTTAATTTCTTGAAGACATCTTGTGTATTTTCTTCTATTTCCTTTGAGTGGTCACACTCAAAGAGTTGTGGTCAACAGCGCAATGTCCAAGTGGAGACCAGTGGCTTTCCTCAGGGATTGTTATTGGGACTGGCGCAGTTTAACATCTTTGTCAGTGACATGGACAGTGGGATTGAGTGCACCCTCAGCAAGCTCACCTATGACACTGAGCTGTGTGGTGCAGTCGACACGCTGGAGGGAACAGATGCCATCCAGAGGGACCTGGACAGGCCTGAGAGGTGGGTTTATTCAGCAAGGCCAAGGGCAAGGTCTTGCATCTGGTTCAGGATAGTCTTAAGCACAAATATAGACTGAGTGGAGAATGGACTGAGAGCAGTCTTGGGATTTTAGGGTCAATTAATTGTTTTGAAATGTTAATCTTAACAGTATCATTACCTTCTGTCCTGCTTCTCTTCCTTTCTACTGTCACTGAAGTCTTCAAATGATAAAATAACTTAAAAGCACCCAGTATTTATTTTGAAATTATGTAACTTGGTCATCTGGTGTTAGATTACTTCAGCAGTTCAGAGAGGGAGTTAAACACAGTTACTTTGTTCCTGACTGAGCCTTATTGCAGCTGATTTTTAGGGGTTTTGAATCTGCTCCAGTTCCGAGCAGAAGTCAGTGGGAATTAGGGCTGTGGCAACAGAAGCAAATTTGAAACCTTAATGACCAAATAAGGCCTTTTCTTCTCTGATACCCTACTGAATTACCGTGGCAATACAGAGGAGTTTCAACAAGCAGATTGTATAATAGACTGTCAAGAACTTTGCTGTGTGTATCTGGCCATGAACTTCTAGATTTGAGCTCCTTTGTATGGAAAATTAGCATCTAGTTTCTACTCCTAAGCATTAGAACTGTATGTTTAGACATTAAATACCATATTTTCATTATAGGGGACTTGTCAAAGAATTTCTACCTTTGAGAACCAAGTAACCAGCACAAGTAGCCAACCTACCGTTAAATCAAAGCACTGAACATGGCTTTCTGATCCTTTCCTGTCCTCTTTTACTTACTTTCCCTTCTGAGTTTTTTGTGAACTTACTGTAGAAATAGTTCCTTTTAATCTGTCCTTTAAAAATGTTTTCAGTTTTACTTTTTCATAGTTTGTTTTTCAAATATGTTGATAGTCAGCTGAAGAGCTGATTATCACTTTTTGAATCAGTTGAAAGACTTGGCAAAAAAATCAAGATGCAAAGGAGCCTTGGAAGTTGCATTTTTTAATTGATTGTGTATTCACAATTTTGTCATCTTTGTTTTCTTTTTCAGTTCCCAATTTGAGCTGAAAAACTAACCACTGTATATTTATGTTAAATGTATCAGAAGATTGTGTTTGGAAACAAGAAAATTAAGAGAACTGTGTAACAGCATCACTATTACAGACACCTCTTGTATTTATTTGAACCTAGCGGTCAGCTACTGCTTAATGCCTCCATTTCCTGATGCTGAAGGTCTGATGTTATCTTCCAAATGACTTAAGCAATCAGCAGTGCAAATACGTGAGGAGAGCAGAAAAGATTAGTAAGTGGAACTTTTAGAGAAATAACTCATATATGTAGCTTTCAACTCACCCTTAGAGTGAGTTGATAAAATGGCAAATATCCATCATTAACACTGTTGCCACCGTTGCCTCTGCTAACTTTTGAGTTGCTCTTAGTTCCATTTTTTAGATTGAGGAAATGGGAGGGTAAATTTGGGAAGTGAAGTTGAGAAGAAGCTGACACTGCTTATAAAGGAAAGTGAGGTATGTTGGGCTGTTCTAGCCACAGATGTTTATTCCAAAATATATAGAGGCTAAATTTAGAAATTATCTGTTTCTGTAGCCATTCAATGTTGTTCCTGCCAGGCAGTTTGTATCTGTAGATGGATGCCATTTTTATCAGGAAATTAAAGGAAGCCACCTGTCTTCACCATGTCCCTGTTTTCTCTTGACACTACCTTTCCTTAATTCTGGCAACCACAAGGAAGTACCATATCTTCCTACAAAGATATTTACGTAGCAATCACATTATCACTCTATCTTACATAGAAATACTTAAATTAGCCTCATATTAATTAACATCAGTCGAATACTTCTATCAGTATAGACTCAACAGGAAAGAATTCAACACAGATTAACCTTTTGAATTTGCTTTTCAGGCAAGTTTTGCAGTCTCTGCCAAGTTCCATAGCTTCAGTGCTACACTGCTTGCAGGCTACCTGTGTAAGTACCTTCACATGATACAGTCATGCCTTGCTGGACATGTAGGCATGCCCTATTAGACTGCGTAGCACCAAGCAGAATGGGTTTCTCTCTTGGTCACAGTCTTTTACCATAACTTTGAGATACTTAATATAGGTGGCATATTTTGCGATTTTTTTGTGTCCAAAATTTTATGAAAGAAAGTCCAAGTTCCAATGGCATAAAACTAGATGAAGACTGAAATAAGTTTTGAATGTATCAGCAAAGTAATATCGCTAACACTACTGATTAGAAACAACAGGTTGGAATTAAGTTTTGAGATATGTGTATAGAACCGCTGGCTGCTGCAAAATAAGTAAGCTATTAACTATAAATCTGTGGCACTCATTGAATTTCTTGCCACTAGCGATGTACTTTCAAAAGAGATCTGGATATACTATTTTCTGCCTTGGAATAGTAAAAATACTTGTGTTCAGAAAGGAAGCACTAAATGGACAGTATTGAAAATCTAACAACCATAAGCTTAATAGCTGCTGAAGAAACATGGCTAATAGTCTAACTGTCTAGGATGGCTGTATGAATTTGGGAAATCTCTAGATGACTTCTACACTTAATCCTGTTTTCTGAACTGAGTGCTGTGGGATAACTGAAGAATTTTTTAGAATACCCTCAAGCCCTGTTGAGGCTTTCAGACCGAACATTTTCAGTTACAATAAACTAGAAATACCCAGGTGTCATGATAAAGCGTAAGATGCAAAAACTATCATGTACTGTGAGTTTATGAGTGACAAGTTGCTGCTGCAAAGGAAAGTGGTTGCAGCTTAATGGTTTTAGAACTGGGCTTTTTTTTAGACATGGTAATAATGCACTCATTTTCATGACCTTTCTTGGATTCATGAGTTACTTGAGTCCAAGAGTTAATGAGATTAATCACAACAACATTTGCTTTAAAAATATTTTCTAAAAGAAGGGCTGAATTGCCCTCAAGAGTTGTCATTCCTCTTAGGCATCTGTTTTACGATAGGAGATTTTACCCCATCTAAGTCACAGAACTTCTTCCCTTATTACAGAGTCCCTATACAGGTGGTGAGAATGGACACCTAACTTTCACCTGGTTAGACAGATTCATCAGGACAGATGGACCCTACTGACCCATAGTAGTTAAAGTAATATTTTTTTTGCAGTAAGAAATTCTAAGTAGTAGCCACTGTAGCTATTTCAGTGTCCTCTCGAAAAAGGGAGAGACACAATTTTTTAGGGTAAGATTTTACAGTGTATTCAAATATAGGTGTTTTGAATATATCTACAGGAAATAAACAGTGGGAAATGTAAGCCTTTACATTAGGCATAATGTGTAGAATATAGATGGGGAGGAGTCCAGTTTTCCATTCCCTATAAATTTCATCCAATTTAAAGGCTACTCTGTATCCTGTCAGTTAAAACATTTCCCAAGGGACCTTTTCCAAAGGGAATGGACTAGATTATTGGAGAAATTTATACTTTGACTTCTACCCACTTCTGATCCCAATCTAATAGTATATTTTCATTTGTTGGCCTGCCACCACTTAAGGGCTTCCGTATAGATGGGAGGAACAATGACCACTATCTCTTCTATTTGTTTCACTGAGTAACACAAAACCAAACATACAGAGTTCAGTTTTGGTCTCACCGAATGCATAGCAAAACTGCCATGGATTTTAGTGGCATTAAAATTTCACCACTGGTATGTTTATGGCCACTTGGAACTTTCTTTTCTTTGCAGTTCTGCCCTGCTGTATAGTCGCATTTTTTTGAGAACAAGAGGAAGTGGTTACCCTTTTGTTTAAGCTAATAAATCTGAATAGGCTTTTGTTGTGACTAGAGTAAAGCATTGCTTGAGGTTGCCGCTGTAACATGTAATAATACAGTCTAAGAAAGCACCAACCTACAGTTATTTACTGTACCATGTTTCGCACATGTAGCAGGAGTCTAGAGGCAACAGACAGTTGTTCTGACAGGTGATTTGACAACAAAGTATTAAAACTGTCATTCCAGCCTTACCAGACCACAGGACTAGTGGAGCAGATACTGTTTGCTTTGCTATTAATTCACGAAAGCTGTCAACACTGTTGTAAACTCTGCTGATATTTGAGGGACCATTGTCAACTTCAATCATGCTTATGTCAGAGTATTTTATTTGCCATTATAAGATGACTGGTAGTGGCTTTCCTGGAGGAGTTGAAAGAGCTGTAAATCCCACTCCCATGCCATTAGCACCACCCAGTGTGGTGTACACTCCTTATTGCATGATGGGACACTGTCTTGTGGCCGTATGAAGCATACCAATACGTGAAGCGTGTGTATCCAGTATTATGATTGTAAACTAAAATGACTGATTGAGACTTTGGGGTTGAAGTGTGCGGGGAAAGGTGAGGGGAAAAAGGAAAATAAACTCCAGTTGTTAAGTTGTTTAGGCATTTCATAATGTTTCCATTATGAACAAGAGGAGGTAAAGAATTAATTATACAAAATGAAGCCTCATGTTTGGAAGCTGTGCTCTGCAGGCAGAGCTCTGTTGACTTAATCAGATGAAATTCCTGCAGAAAGCCTTCTCGTCTGCCAGTGAAGTAAGTCTAATAGCCTTTCAGGCTAAAACAAACTTTTAAGGATTTGTAACATCAGCGCTATGGTTCTACAGAGACAACAACATGCCCATAAATTGAAACTAGTCATCTGACAGTCCCCATTTGTCTGACCTACTTTCTACTTGCACTCTGTAAGCAACCACAAGAAGAAAATTTGGGGATGACAGAAGAAGGGGCGATCAGAGGAGCAGACAAGAAAAACAGAATGTTAAGTAGCTTACATGTGCTTTGTATCACATAATTTATAACCAAAAGAAAATGAGAGAGGTGGGATGATGAAAGAATACTGGTGTCTGGATAAACATAAGCCCAGAAGAGTGATTCCTTTCTCTTGGCTTTCACCAGTGACTGATGCAGAGGTGGCTATCTCTGAAGAGTTATTGTAAGGATCTCACTGCTTTTTATCTTCCTAAAATGGATGAAAAAATAGTCTGTGTTCTGAGAAAAACTTCTTTCTCAGGTGTTCACATTGCCCTTGCCAAATGTTGCTGTCCTCAAAACCAGAGTGGCAGAATGTGTGTCAGCGTGCCAGTCATCCCAGTCAACAGACTGGCTCACAAGGCTGTTTTTGTTTGTCTACCAGATGGTGAGTGGCTAAAGCATACTTTGCCACACTGCTCTATGCACCTAAACATTGCCTTTTTGGCCGCATTGATTATGTAGCTGCAGCTGGAGCTTATTGTAGTGTAAGCTACCCAGTCATGTTCTACAGCTTGCAGCCATAACAAAATCTTACTAGGTGTTGGTTTGGAACATTTGGGATATAAAATGTGCTGATCAGTATGTTCTTGAAATCACTGCTGTTTCTGACAAAGGCAGGATATCTGTTTTACTCAGAAGCTGAAAGCTGAAAGAAAGCGCTGGACTCTTTCTATTGAATTGAAAATGTAAACCACTTTTTTCTTAGTAATTACACTGTTTTTTCTGTGCTTTGCAATTACTTATGACAAATATCCATGGATAGTTGTTAACCTACTACAAAAACTACTAAAAGTCTTACTGAGGCTAGGAAATTTACTATTAATACTAAAACAGCCCAGTTTGCAGCACTGCCAACACAATGCACATCCTGATCTGCCCTGGCTTTTGACATTCAGGAGAATGATTAACTTGTAAACTTGTATGGTTTTCCTCATGAATGAGTCCTGCAAGAAATACATATGTAAGTACAGCTTCAACGTGTAGACAAGGCAAATACGCAAATGTTCAAAAGTGCCATTGTGTTCTCCAAAATATTTACAGATCAGGTAAATAAAGTAATGAAAAATGTAGATTCCAACAGACCTATGCCCAAAGGGAGCTCTAGAAGTCAGTGAGAGCTGCGTGCTTGGATCTGGTGTGGTACATAGCACTCAGTTATGAAATAACTGGGCAATAAGGCACAGTGACCATGTGAACACAGTAATTATAACACTCGGCAGTGCTTATGTGATGACTGACCTCTTGCCAGAGCTAACCCCAAGAGCTCTGCCATTCGGCCCAGGAGCAGAAGTTTTAGAGCAGAAAGCAGGAATAGCTCATGTTCTCTCTAGATTTCCAAAGGAGAAAAGGTGTTTACATACTGTGAGGACTAGAGTGTCACTCAGCTTCCCTATCTCCCTGAGGTCTGCTGTGCTTTGCCCTATCTCTGCCATCCTTTCCTCTTCCTTCCTCACTTACCCAATGGACACAGTAACTTTGCTGGTGAACATGGAGACACTCCAGTTCTCAGCAGTTTTTTCTGTAGTAACGTCAAGCCTGGTTTACTGTAAGTACAATTTTAATGGACAATATTTTTCTTTAAAGCATTCTCTTGCTTTCCTATTTGCACCGCTATTGCATCTTAACTACATGAGGGATGATAATCACAGCTTTGCTGGCTTTCTCAGCTTTGCTGGTGGAGTAGGTGTTAATATAGCAGTTTTCATGAGCAACTTACATGAAGTATTTAAAAATGTAGACTTGAGTCTAGGCCACAGAAAGCCTAAAGAGGGAAAAAACAGCAGTAGGGCAGGGAAAGCTGGAAGAGATGAAGATTTCCACCTTCTAGAACATGTAAAAGCTGAGATAACCTGAGACCATTAGCATATAACATTTTTATAGGGCCTTCCTATAACTAATTGTTGCTTTTATTCTAGCCTAGAGCTGACACACTGTAAACAGGACTGATGGTTTAATTAATAGTGTCAAAGAGACCAAATACCCAACTTTTGTCAGAAACAACTGGAAAAAAACCGATGGAAAAAAGGAAGTCCCCTCCCATACTAAAAGCATAGGGTCAGTCACAGGCAACCTCTGTGGTGGTAATGGGAAGGTTTTATAGGCAGGAGTGGAAGTAGTGGGAGCCAGGCTATAAAATTTCTGAGCATTGGTCTTTCCATTAACTGCTTATGTGTGAAAAATAATTGGCAAAATCCCAAGAGGAGAGCTTATAGCCTCTTTTCACTTATCCTTTTTCTCCTTGCTTATGTAGGATCAAGTGAGGAAGATCTATTCTGCCCTGCTTTTCCCTTGATGAGAGAAAAGCAATCAAGACTATCTAACTAAAGAAACAGTCTTTTGTTATTCTTTTTATTCCAGGCTTGTGGATTAGTCTAACTCAAGCCACAAAAGAAAGCTAAGATATACTGCCTGATATAAAATGACCAACATAGACTTCTATACATGTCATATCTGTGTGTTTATTTCTCTGTGTTTGATGATTCGTACAATGCTACTCTACAGCATAGAGATTTCGGACAATACCCCAACGATGTTAACCAAGTTCACAGGAGCTTGTCAGCTAAACCTACTGAAATCTCATGCTAATCAACAGAGGTTAGTTGCTGATGTCATTTGCACTGTTCCTTAGCAAAGGTACTGAAGGTCATCATTTTGTGCAAACCTTAGTGTTGGCAGACAGTCAAAATAATACTAGGAGCTGCTTTGGCAAACTAAGTTGGGCTTCCAAAAATGCCTTTTCATAAGGTCCATCCAATGTGTATGGACTCTGTCATCAATGGGACATTCAGGATAAGCATTTTGATAAGGGTCTTAAAGAAAACTGTCTTCAATAGACTTTTTTTTTCAAAGTGTATCTTGGGTTCACAGGGAACCCAGCTGTTTATACCAGTGTCCAGCAACTGTTGCCAAGGTTTTATTGGTCTAATCTAAGAAAAAAGGAGCATTAGGTCAAACACTTGTGTTACAGCACTGTAGAAAAAATATTTATGAAGGCTTTATGAAGAAGGTTTAATTAATTATTTCTTTTTAAAAAAATAGAATTTAAAATAAATACTGTAAGAAAATATTGTATATAATTAAAAAAAGATACGACTTCACAGTGGTAGGATAATATCTAGGCATGTGATGTGGTTTAACTTCAGAATCTTGTACTTTATGATGATCTTGATTCAGAAACTGTTTCTCAACCCTGGGGAATACTTGCTGACTGTGGTACCACCTAATGACATATGCTGTCCCTTCAAACTTCAGGAGCAGGTGCAGTCTTGTACACCTTAACAGTGAGTGTGTGGCTAAATCTGCATCAGTTGAAATGATTTGCCGTATAAATTATTTCATACATAAGCATTCTTTCACCATATACATTCTGTAGTGGCTTTTCTGTCAATAAATTAAGCCATATGATGATTTAGCCACATCCCTGTTAGTAGATCCTAAAGCAGGCTTTGAGCGCAGATATTTTACCACTTCCAAACTTGCAGTGTTGTGGTTAAACTGTCTGCTTGCAATGTTGGTGGCTGGGGAAGGAGCACAAAGGAAGCCTGTCAGTAGACAAACTTTATTCTAGAAATTTTATCACAAATGTCAACATATAAAAGAAAATGTGACATTAAAATGCATGTCTTAATTGACAAGGGTTAATTAAAACTTTTTGTAGTTCAAACGGTATCAAATTTTGAGGAAGAGCAACAAGCAGTAGCTCTGTTTAGCTGTCATTTCCAACTATTTAGTGCCTATTTCTGAGACAGAAGGAGTACCATGGTGATGCACAGACTGACTTTGGTGCATGAATGGCATGTACAGGCACCTGTGCTATGCAGAAGGATCTCCTTGGATCATGATGGTCTCAACTTTACTGGTCTCTTTTGAACGTGTGTTGATGGAAGTTCCACGTGCTCAGGAGAAAGATGGACCGGTGTTGGGCAGAGGACTAATGTGAGATGTAACAGACCTGCTGCAGTTTTCCTTCTTTAATTCTGAGTTGGTCATTTAGTCACTGAACCTTCACTGACTGCTGTCAGTGTGAATTATATCACTGACTGACACAGAGAGGGAAGTCTCCCATGTTTCTGCCTGTACTATGCCTGTGTGAACTGGACTGCTGAGAAACCTAACACTGCTCTGATCAGTCACCCATTTCTATGAAGCCATGTTGTTACCCACTTAGATACATTTCGATAAGTGTGTGTGGTTCTCCTAGGCTGTCTAAAACTCCTATCATCTGCTTTTGCAATTTATAATATGATGTCTTAACTCTCTTAAGAAGTGCTTAGCAGTTGTCTTACAAGAAGGGCAGATGGGATAAATGTTGATGGCAGCATGGTCACCCTGCCTGTGTGCTTGGTACATGTGTACACTTGGACCTATGTTAAGGGGAATATAGGTTTGAGTCTCCTTTCCTCAATCTTGCCTATATCTGTCTCATGTATGGGAAACTGAATTTGAAAGTTAAACCAAAGCACAATTTTGAGCTCAAAATATTTTGTAGGTGACTGGGATCATAAAAGTATCATAACTGTATTGTATTTTGCTTCTTGTTCCTATAGCAACATCCAGCCAAGAAACTCAAGGCTCTTTACAAGTATTCCTGAATTAAGCTGATGAGGTAAGTGATGGTGATTGTTCTTGTTTACAGATAAGGAAATGCAGAGGTTAAACTAGTTGATCAAGGTCACCCAACAAATCTTTATCCAAGCCAAGAATAAAAACTGACTGTGGTCTGTGCCTCAGTCACCGGGCTGTTTGAAGGGCTGCGCAGGGCTGAGGGGAAAGCCTTGTACAAAGTCTACAGATTTGTGCATTCAAAATATACATTCCAGCTCAGATTGCCTCACTGAAGTGACCTTATATTTTCATCTCTTTGTCCATCTAAACTTTGCCTTTGTGAAAATATCATTATATCTAGTCAAAGCAGGAGCAACATGATTTTGACAAGTTTTGCAAATTTCTGATGAAGCAAAACTGAAACCTATGCTAAAAAAGTTTAACAATCTCTGCATGTGTGATTGCTAATCCTTCAATGGCAATTAGATAAACAGGTCCAGTATATACTTCTTTTGTTTCAGTGACTACATAAACCAAAGAAAACAAATATATTTATACTAAGAACAACTACGAATTTTCTCTGGTGTTGCCACAGAGATATTGTATTATATAATGAAAAAATAGAGTTTGTTGATAGACAACAACAAATCTCTTGGGTTTCTTTTTAAGTCACAGGAAGGGAAAAACTGTAAACTCTTAAATTTTTTTGATATCCAGCCTCTGCTCCTCCTCTGTACCTAGTGCTTGCCAGTGCCAGAATATTGTGAACAGAGACAGTAGAGGAGAACAACAGCCACACCTTTTTAATTCTATCATCCCACTGGATGCTGTTTGTAGGATATAAGAGCGGAAAATAGCAAGTGTACTCTTAGAAATGTTCTTTTTCTAGTCTGGGCTAAATAGTGTAAAATGCTTTCTTGCTTCCTTATCTCTTAGGCATATACATGCCTCACCTAAGTCATGCTTCTTTTCTTCTAGATATGATTCCTTACAGTTATTCGGTGGATTTCGGGGTTCTTGTTAGCTATATCCTTGTGGTCTGGAATGTTGTGACTGAGAATTTTACACTGTTTGGAGGAATGGTTTGCTGCTGTTTTTTCAAGATTGCTTGCTACTATGGCTGTGTTAGGGTTTTGCTGAAGAACAAGTCAGCTTGGGTGAATGGCAGTAATTTAGTTGGGAAAAGTCTTGTGTGAGTTGAGGGTCATGTTCAGCAACATTTGCAAGTCTGACTAAAAAGTTCACAGAAGCACTAAGCAGAAAGGAGGCTTATTGGACTGGCTTTATTGCTTTGAAGGGGGAAAAGCAGGGGTGGGTTAAGGACAGGAATGGAGAGGATCACAGCTGCTCCCCTAAAAGATAAAGTGGTTCTGGAAGCATATAACCATATATATATGCCAGTTTGAATGAATATCCAATATTTTTCTCAACTTCTCAGAAATCCCACATACATGAGCATTAAAATCAGTGAAACCCTGAAAGAATAAAGTGTAAGTGTCACATAAGGTCTGCTATTAATCTGCATTTCGATCACTGTGTTGAGTGACAGCTGCACCTCAGCTGTTGCTGTGCCCTTTGAGCTGGGCGGTCAGAGATGGGGATGACTCAGCGTACAGTACTACTACTCAATTTTTTCAATTTACTTCTCAAACTTTTTGCTGGCCTTGTCTTGTAATTTCAGTATCAGTCAGACTTGCTTGAGAATTTGTATGTAGGCAAATGACTCAGTATTACCAGTCTTTACCTTGCGTTACAAAGGATCACCTTGTACAGTGTTTCTGTTAGGTACTGGGCCAGAGTTTTCAGCTGATTTAGAGTAGCTGTAGATGCAGGTGTGCTTATATTTTACAGCTCAGAGAAAACGAAATGGGAGAAATGTAGCAATAAAACCTAGATGAAAATTTGACTCTCTGCTTGACAATCTCAGGCTCAGGCCATTAGTTCTTACTTTAAAAAACTATATCCACATTAATCTCAGAGAGATCTTTAACGTTGCGGCAATAGCTGTTTGAGTGGGAATACTTTAAAGAAATTAAATTACTGGCTTTGCATTAGAAAGATCTACTGATCTTTTAGTCCACTGAGATTTTTGAGAGAAGGTGGCTTCTTCTGTATATATCTAGTTTTGCTCTGCTTTCACTGTAATGATATCTGTAGGGAAGTCATTTGCCTGCTGTTCTGCTGCTTTTGAAGGAAGAAAATTCTGCTTGCCACTGTGTCAGCCCATTGCAGCTTGATGGGAGATGGGTAGTGTAGGAAGTGCTGAGTGGAGGCACTTGATTCTGATGAATACACTGGGTCCATGATCCATGGTCCATGGCTTCACTCCCTGGGAAATGCAAGTGCCCAGTGTTTCTCAGACTAATCTGAAATTTCTCCCAACACTGAGCAAGGCGAAAAGACACCAAACAAACCCTTTGTTGCATTTGGAAAAAGATGAATAAATGTCACAGTCAGGACTCAAATAGTTAACTACATGTTACAGTTATACATTTTCAGAATGTATTTGCAGCTGGGGTCCTGATGGCTGGTCTTTGAGGCATTTTCCTAAATGTCGGTTAAGTTGCCACCCCAGCTCAGCTGTACTTTGGCTGAAGCATCCTCTCCTGAACTCTTGTAGTCACAGAAGATCCTAGTCAGGTAAGTGTACCCCTTTTATTCTTCTGCAGCCTTGATGATCAACCAAAGTACAATATTAAACTTACCTTGCTACTTGAAAAATACAGCCTATCACTATATAACTTTCTGATAGTTGAAAGTGCTTTTCTGAAATGCATCCTTGAAGCTAAGGAGGTCTTAAACAAGTATAGAAGCCAGCTTATTGGTAAATTAGGTCCTCTCTTGTTGATCATATTTATCTTGTTGATCAGATTTACCTTGTTCTGGAATGATTATGAGATGAACTCTGAATTGTCATAGCAGCTTTAGTACAAATCTGTGAAACTTTATTAGGAATAATAAGGAATGCCAGATTATCTCAAATTTATATGGAGACTAAACCTGGTAAGTAAGAAGATGAACATGAGAAAAAAGGTGTTTGTGGAATATACCACAGCTGCCCATCATATATGGTGTTATTTTTCCTCTTGTGGAAGAGCAGAGAATACAGTGGACTAACAGAGCTATTATAAAAGCTGAATGCACCAGATTCTCATCTTTCATGCGTGGTAACACCTCCACACACGGTCTGATTTAAATGAATCTAATAGACATGTCTGAAGCAAAATACTGCTCAGACAAACATGTGGCCTTTAGAGAGAAACTAATGGAAGAAATTCTACACTCAGGCTGTCACTCACTCAGTTGTTGACACAACTGTTTGGGGATTGTGAACTGGATCAAGGGAACCAGATAAGGTTAAAAATAATGCAAACAAACAGGGATCAGGAGAGGGTACCAGCTTACTTCTGTGGAAGGGGGGAGGTTTTGCGTTTCTTCTCTGAGCTCAGCTGTGCTTTGCACTGGCTCTCTCCCCGTCCTGGACAACAGCTTCAATATTTGTGAAACCCTTCTGTGAGCAGATTTGGCTCACTAGGTAGAGCAGCAGAAAACTATCCAACCCTGTTTTTTACTGTGCCATTTTAGCACATGAAATTAGCTTAAATGAGGGTCTCTTGAGTACCAGAGCTAGTAGGAGATATAAAGCAGAAGCATGACCTCCTCACAGTTTCAGGGAGCTATTAGTTTAGCTTAGTGTACCTCTGGAAACCCTGTGCAAATAATTGTGTCATTGCGAAGCAAAACAAGTGACTGACAGGGCAGAGAAGAATTCCATTGCCAAAATCCCCTGTATCATGAAATTGAAGTGTCAGCATGAGACAGAAGGGCAACCCTTGTCTTTCTGTATCAGTATATAGAAATAGGGAGATAAAGGGTTTGGAGAAGGCTTAGTGCTGAGAACCTGAAGTGCTGTATTTAGAACTAGCTGTAGGCCTTTGAAAGAAATGCAGACCCGAGTGTGAAATAACAAATGGATATTGTAAAGTAAATGGAGATTTTTCCCCTTTAGAAACAAAGATAATTAGTGGAAAGATAAAATTTAGATTTGCTTATAGAATGATTATCTTATCATTGCCTGGAAAATAGTTCTTATTTCTATTGCAAATTCCAGATAATGTCACAGACTGGTAACCAGACAGCCCTTGCTGGATTTCCTCTACATGCATTCTGCATGTTGATCTTGTCCTTCTAGATCTGCTCTTTGCTTCCTAGAGACCATCACCAATGGACCAGCTGTAAAAAATTCATACTTCCGCAAGCTTAATTTCTTTCACATTACAGTGATGGCTGTTTAATTAGGAGAAACAGACCAACCACTGAACTGAACTGAACTGAATTAGAAGTGTGTAAATTTAACTAGGATTTTTCAGATCTAAACACACAGATCATTGTCAGTAAGATGAACGCGTAGACACCAGTTTAAACTAATAACTAAAATGTAGTGCCTAGCCTATGTCTGCTTAATGCTGCTCAAAGTTAACAGGTAGATTTAATCTAGTTCTCAACGACAGAGGCTAAATAAGCTTACTACCACTTTTGATGTTACCACAGGCCATTTATGACCGGTATTTGTATTAGTGATTTCATGAGGAAGATAAAGACTGGGTATGTCTACAGGAGACATTAAACTTGTTCTGTGAATAGAGGATGTAATTCCTTACTTAGCTATATTTACTGTAATATTAATTTCAGTTTATTTGCTATGCACATTAAAGACAAATGCTGAAATGTGATCACAGTTTGCATGAAAATCCATTGATACACAGAAGTTCACCATGAAGACATGATTTGACAAGGCAGGGATGTTAATGGAAACACAGCTTTATGGGAGTGCCCTGCCTTCCTGGTGGTGCTAAAAACCCTGTCAGAGTGAAATTTTTACTCCTGGTGCAGATCAGCTCTTTTGTTCTGCTGCTCAGTGAAACCCCATAAAGACTTTCATTGGCACAACAGGAGAGGGGCAAGGGGGAACATCTGTGTTTGCTCGGTTGTGCCACTGAAGGTCTTTTGTCATTAGCTTACAGCCAGAGAACTAGAAGTGTAACTTCTTTATCCACCGTC